AGAACTATGTGACTGATATTGAACTTACACAATTTTATTACCTCCGCAGCTCCGCTATTCTAGATTTGGGACAGGAGGGAGGGGTGCGATCATTAAGAAAAATAAAATTGTACTCCGTAGAATTAATATTGGGTTGATAAAGTGTTAATAATGTCATAATGAACTACAATATAATTATCCAAATATTATTAAAAAAGTACAAGTGTGAGACAATCTTAATAAGGTGAATAGAGCATGAAACTCAAACTTCAAACCTATACTGTCAAGTACGATAGTATCAACTAATCAACCCACAAAAATACACCGAGTAGTGAGTATTAGACCAGTTGGAGTGGTGAGGTATTAAATATGGAACTTTTGAACTCCTAATTGTGTGTAATGGTGGTTTAAAAGGGATATTAAAAATGGAGGATGGAATGGAGGGGGTTAAATACAGAGGGTGAGTTTAGAAGAGTGGAAAAAGAAAAAATAAAGAAAAAAGAAAAAGAATAAAGAATGTCATGCTGGTGTCACCCTTGCATCATTTTATCCCAATTTTTTAAACTTATATAACTTTTTTATTTGTCATCTAAATTTTTCAAAAAAATCATCAGAATTCTTAAATTTTTATGATCTTTCATATGACATCAATATGTGATATATAAAATGATTTTTTTTTTAAATTTCAACTGTTGCAGTTTCTTGAGCTAAAAAAACGAAACAAATATTTTTAATCCACGAAGTCTTCACAAATAACTGAATATTCTATAATCGAACTTCACTTAAACAAATTCATTTTTAACCGAAAAATGTTAAAAAAAGTTGTAAAAATTATTTGTTTTTACATCGAAATGTGTATTTTTATTCCATAATTATTAAGGGGAAAAATTAAAAGTAAAACATTACTTATAATCATTTAATTAATGTTTTACTAAATTTATATGTAAAAAGTATGCAGAGTGTATTTTATTGACGGTGCACGGATGCAGGGAAAAATAGTTTTGACGGAGTCTAAATACTGTTTTCATATGGACGGAGTCCAAATTTAACAATTTGGACTCTTGACCACTACAAATGGCCGTACAGAGTACCTCTCACAATGTTTGTACTTGGATCGTAATTTGCTGGTCTGGTATGATCTAGTTTGGTTTGGTCTGGTAATGTCTGATCTCTTTGTATTTTTATAACTATCTAAGTCTAGTTTGATCTGATATGGTCTGTTCTGATTTGGCCTGATCTGGTCTGGAATGGATTACCGTCCAAGTAAAAACATCCTCAATACATAAAATCAATGAAAGAACATTGAAGAAATGAGAATTTGTAGAACTTAATTAACTCTTCCAACACATGATCGGCTAGTTTTAAAGAGATCTTAGGAGTTGTGATTATCCTCTTCCTTTGCATATTGTCACATATTAAATGTTTTGTTTTAGTTTAACGCGATTGTTAATTAAGTGATTAACAAATACAACTTGTAATTGAGATTTGAATAGAATAAAGTAAAATGATATGGATCACATATTTTTCACCCAAAAAGTAAATGAGACATTCATTTTGAGATAATTCAAAAAAGAAATTAACACAACCCAGAGTATACGATTGTAATTAGTGGTGGACTCGGGTCGGGCCACCTGGCCCGTAGACCGGCCCAGCCCGCTACTGTGCAGGACCGGGACCGGCCCGGTTCTCGGGTCCGGGTCAGGCCTAGGCCCAGGGGGCGGGTCCGGGCTCGGGTCTTACAATTGGCGAACCGGCCCGGCCCGGGCCAAATTGATTTTATTGTTTTCATTTTTTGGGGTTCCACCCAGGTTGGGCTTGATGGTTAGGAGGGGTTTGGGGGAGTGAGGGGGGGTTAGGAAAGCAAAAAAAAAAACGGAGGCCATGCCCGGCCTTGACCGGACCCGGTGGCTACTCGGGCCGGTCCTGAGTCCACCAATTCTAAACCGCCAGCCCGCCCGGACCCGGCCCGAGTCCACACCTGATTGTAATTGAGATGGATGTAGATTGTAGTGTTGTTATCTTTTCTATAAATTGAACATAATGGTGACAATTTATTCATGGAAAAGACTATTTTTACACGAAATTTGTACACATTTTATATACACACCTCCTAGTTATATATGTGCACCGACATCTAAAAATATATACTTCCTCCGTATTTTAAAGTTTTCTACACTTTCCTTTTTGGGATGTACTTAAAAGTTTGCTACACTTTCCCTTTTTAATAAGTTTTTCCTTTAAAAATACTTAACTACCATTACTTTTTCTACTTTCTATCTTCTCTTTAATACTTTTACACACACTCTCCTACTTTTTCTGCACTATTCATTATCCCTACTATTTCATTCTTAAATAATGTGTTCAATGCTATTGTAGTAAACTTATAAATATGGAGGGATACCCGCACGGGTAGCTCAGCTGGTCGAGTGGTGGGAAAATTGGAACTATGACCAAGGTTCGAATCCCCGCAACAATCGGGTGGAGGTTACAGAACCTGAAATAAGACTGGACCTCTGGTGCGCACGGGGTAAAGGCCTACTGTAAATTGGGGCGTGGGGGGCGCTTGAGGTCGGCGATTCAACCTTTTTTGGAACTATAAATAGGGAGGGATTATACAAAGTGTATACGGAGTACAAAGTTCGTGTACTATCACCGAAAAGATTCTAATTTTATGTAACTCAAGAAAGGCAAATGATGATAAAGACATAGTCATTGGTCAAAGTGTGAGGTTTAAACCCCCAGACAATACATCATAAAAAAATAATAGGGTGGGCCCAAACGAATTCGCTGTCCCGTTGAAAACACCCTCTCTTTTCGGGTTAGGAATCATTTCTTGACTTGCATTTCAAAGGCAATAACGGCTCCAAAGCAGTAAATTAGTTTCTCCAGAAACCAAACCAAACATAACTCCAAATAAGAGCATCCACCTGCCCATATGGACTTTTTGACAAAATCACATTTACTCCCTCCCTTAAAAGGAGATATTCTTACCTGGCCGGCCCAGTACGATGGGTGGGTAACTTATAAGGGCGGTTCACGTTTTCTGCCCATAAATCCCATATGTACTATTTTCTCTCTTTTTATTTCACCCATATCTTCTCATGGATATTAGAATGACACATTGCCCTAGTCTGTACATATAAGGTAGAAAGAGTATAGAAGTGCGAGAAAGCAAATGAAAAAACTAAAGAAAATAAGACAAAACAGCAAAGATAAAAGTTGAGCAAATAATATTATTAAATCCAAAAAAGAATGCACATCTTATTTGATTTGCAACAATTATTAATAAAGTGGTTAAAACTTAAAAGGGTAAAACTTGTAGTTAAGATTTAAATACTCCGTATAATAAAGTGAAATGCTATAAACCATATATTTTTTCCAAAAAAGGAAATGTGATGCTTATTTTGGGACCACCGAAAAACAAAAGAAAGACAGATAAAATGGAACGGATGGAGTACTAGATTTCTTGATTTCGGTGACACGGCTTTTAAATCTTATGGGCCTAGTGTGAAATACGAAATAAGAATTTTAATTCGTATCATGAATTACATCGGTTCTTATTAGGTGGCAATGTGGCATGCTAGGTATTCAAAGAGATTATGAAAAAATAGGAGCAATGAATAGAGTAGAAAAAAGTTGATGAGAAAAAATAGAATACTTACTTAAGGACGAAAATGGGAAAATGTAAGAAATAGAATGAGGATAAATAGATCAAATAGGAAAGCCTTTTTCTTTCTTAAGCTATATGAAAACATAATTTCAATGGATCAAACAAGACTTTCATATCGAAAAAAATAGTTAAAACCGTTTTTGGAGACAGAGTATAATTAGGCAGTCATACTCTTCTCTCTTTCATGAAATACTTGAGGGTTACTGCTTAGACAAGGCCAGCTTAGTTTCACTTCTTTTTGTTATTTGGTCATTTGGTATGGAAAGTCGGTTCATATACAACTTACAACTGTGCACAGTGTACTGGCCTATAAAGCCTTGTTTGGTGAGGGTAAATTTGGCCGGAAGATTAATTTGATGACAAAGTGCTTGAATTTTTTGATTTTTACAAACAAAATCCAAACGAATCATAGCGAACAATATGACAAATATAACATATTTTAGAGAAGAAATATATAATCATAGTTGCACTAATACAATAAAACATCATGGCCAAAAGCCAAAATAGTAGGTTATCAAAATGGGGCCTAAAATTTTCCAATTCTAGTTCATTTGGTTGTCTTAGAAGCCAGATCAAAAGAATATATCTATCATATATCAAAATCAAGCTTCCAAAGAGGTCAACTTCACCAGTCAAATCCTATAAACCATACTTGCCTAATACAGAGATTATCCTACTAAGTCTGAAGATTAGGTTATACCTAACAAAGAGAGTTATCTTTCAAGCAATGAATAACTTGGCTAGATATGCTTATGCGGTTATGCCACAGGCCCATAACAGCACAATTTACTATGGCTGGACTATCCAGCCCTGCTTGCACAGCACTTCGTCTCCACCATAGTGATAAATGAAGCTAGTTATCTGATCCATTTCAAGCCTGTCTGACTTAATATTCTTATCATGTCATAAAACTGTTCATTTACAAAACTTGAGTGACCCACTTCTATGAGTGGTTCACTTCAACCCTTGTAGATACTACATATATGATATGCCATTTCTACACTACTTGTAACCCCTTTGATAGCCAAAAGTGGGTTATTCTTATTTGCAAATTAAGTGACATACACAACTTTTGCCGTACTTGTTTGGCTGAAATGAATTTTACGGAATGATTTTCCTTTCAAAAACATTAAGAGAGTCGAGCATATCAGCCAATTAATTTTACATTCTTATTAAAACAGTTAGACTAGGTGAAAAGCTAAAACGGCACCTACAAGCCTAATATTATCTTCGACACGCTAAGGAGAGCCTGGTCTACCTATAAAGACTACAAGTGAATCCCTCCAAGGCTGGCCTCAGGAGGATTTTTAGATTAATGGTGACAAAAAGGTAGCATGATGGAATAAAATAACAAGTTTTTCCAAATAGTATTGCGAATACTCACATTCCAAAGTAACCAATTCGAAGGATTCAAATCACAGGGATACAACCTCCACCAATTTCATTCCTGAACGTGACTGTGCTCCCAATCAAAGAGAGGTAGAGGAGCAAATATTTCAAGCATCCATTATCCATAGAAACAACCTCCAAGAGGTGACCAAGTCTAGTCAAAAGTCTAGTGACAACACATGGAATGCCATACAACTGCAAGTCATTTTAAGAGCGCATACATACATAGCTAAAAGAAGATTAAGTAGTACCATTGCTGAAACATTAAATGAATTGCAAAGAACTGCTAGCCACAACCATGGACACTGTTTAGTAGACCCACACTCATTCGCTGGTCTTGAGATCTGCTTCTCTTGTAGAGAGGTTCAGGCGAGGAAGTAACTGATGGATTAAATGCCCAAGAATCATTAGAGCTTTCACAGCTAAAATACGCATCAATTACACCATCAGGACTGCCAGGTACAGATTGGTATTTGCGCTTAAGGTTTTGGCAATGCTTGTCTCTACGATTTACCTCAAGAATAACATTGTAGCATTCATCCACCTCCTCCTGTTATTATTCATAGTGGAATTAGAAAATAGAACTAAAAGATAACAAATATCAACATAAAGATAGCAAATGTCTAAAATTAGACTATCTTTTTTAGTCCTACAAATAGAACACATTAAATTATAGAGAAAAAATTAACTACATTAGGTCTTCCGTAGGACTGAAGGAATCATATTTTATTTTAAAAACGAGAACGGCTTGGTTGTGCACACAACATATTCTTAGCTCATATGTGCAATACTCTTTATCCCTTTCTTCAATTATAATAAAGAATCAATATCTAAACCATGAAATAAGAAACTCAGAAGCTTCAGTATAGAAGAGCTCAAGAGCAGACAATACCTTGTTGATTTTCAGTATAGTAATGAGTTCATCATGGTATTCAGCAGCATTGTTAAGTTCAATCTCTTCAAATGCAATTAACATTGTTGCAGTAGCAATAACAGATGGAAGATAATGCAATAGCCTAGAATCTGCATTTCAGTTTGTTCCAAATAAATCAAGTCAATCCTATTTAAAAACAACAATCATTACTATATTTGCAAAGCTTCAAAAGGGGTATAATTCCTAACCAGTAATTATAGAGAGAATGATGCCTTCACAGCACCTCAGAAATTCACAATGCAGGTTGTCTTTAAATCCAAATCTCCTAATGATATGGTCAAAGAATGAGATGGGTGTGACTAGATTCATCCTCCAATTAAGAGTAGAGAGCACCAAAAGTTCCATTCTCTGAATAGTCTTGGCATCAAACATATACTTGGAATCTGTAACCTAAAAAATCATAGACATTTCTTATGTAAGCATTGAAGCATTATTTCAAACACCCAAGCTACAACCTTTTCATGTGAAAAAAACAGAAAAGAGAGCTTCACGAACTTGGAAGTCTAATAGAAGAGGCACATCAATCTCCTCTACTTTTGCAGCTATAGAAAGACAAGCCACAGCCGCAAGCTGACTCATCCATGGCTTATCCTTCTGGAAGGAAACACCACATATGAGCCTATCGAAGTAATTCACAGCCAATACAGCAGTCAAGGCGTTGAATCCGTAGTGTCCAATGACATTAAACATCCAACCCAGAGCTTCATTTCTAGCCACCATTAAAGGTCCATCAACATCAAGAGTCCCAGACCCAAAAAATGGCTCCCTTTCTTTCGACAAAAGAGCCGACAGCTCATCATCGTCCCAGGAAAGGTCAGATTCGAAGAAAGACAGTGACTTTTTAACATTCAGTTTCACAAAATGATGCTCATTCTCGAAACAAGACCATTCGCCCGAATCATCACCGAGTCTCTCCTCGTCGCAGAGGAGGCCATCAAGGGAAAAGATCTGGTTTTGAGGCTGAACATCTCGATTTCCTGGCAAATGGGTAAGAGAAAACAACATCTTCCTCTTCTTCTAGGAAGAAGACAGCAGAGCCTGTTCTCATAATACTCAAGAAAAACTCAAACACGATTTCTGACCCAGAATCATATCTGCTGAAACCAGCGTTGCTTTCTCCTACTGGAGGACAGCAAAGAGAGAGAGACAGAGAGGGGATTGGACTATTGGATGGGAGGGTGGTACCAGAGAAGGAAGCAAGGGATTTTATCTGAGCTTGCTATCACGCCTGTCCCTTTTCTCCTTATTTTCTCTCCCAACTTTACACGACTTTTGGGATATATCTACGGAGTTATTTAATTTTCAGAGGGGTTTGGTTATTTTATTTGGCGCGCATAGAAATTAAAAGTAATAATCGTACAATGTCCAAATTGCCCCCGTCAGAAAATGCATTCACCTAATTCCCGTTTACAGGGTTGCACATTAATCGGATATTTTTGTAAATCAGCAAACATGGTCAACTTTATTACGTAATTGAAATTGTAATGCGTTTATTATGTGCAAGTATTTACATGTTTGTTATGTTACGCTGAAATCTTTTCTTTTCTTTTTTTGGATGAAATGTAAATATATATTAACACCCAAGAAAAAAAAATACATCACATGTCCTGTATCTCCTAAAACCTCCCCCACCCCACATAATGTAGAGGTTAGAGGAGGTTTTTATTTGATCTGTTCTATGCCAAAAATCAAAAAGCCCCCCACCCCCTCCTATTTCGTGAGAAAAGGAGAGGGTGAGATGAAGTAAATAGACTAGTCTATGTCAATCACGGCCTATACGCAACAAAATGCGGCCAATAAGTCAAAAAACAGAAACTGTAATGGTTCTGCTAGGTGCACGCACACACATCGAGTATATATAGAGGCTATGCCGTGACTTCCCAAAAAGCCCTTGACGCCTCTTCAAAACTTGATCAAGTCATGTGGGTAGATACTAAATAATATCTTGTAAACCACATGCTTGATCTTAGCAACAATGTCATCTTCCGTCTTCTTCCCTTCCTCAAATCTCGCCTCATTTCGCGCTTGCCAAATGTAGTAGGCCGCGGCACAGAAAGCAAGTCGTCCCGCCTTGGCTTTCAATGTTGCTCCTTTATGCGTCTTGGTGATCCACTTTATTGCACTTAGGAGTGTAGTCATCCGATGCCCAAGTCCAATCCATGCTTTAATTCTATCCCATACCCTGCAAGTAAAAGGACAACGGAAAAACAAGTGTGGAATTGTTTCCAATCCACCCTTGCAAAGGTCACACCTATTTACTATGTGTAGGTAACCGAGGCTATCCTGGGTAGGAAGCCGGTTTCTCAAAGCCAACCACATGTTGAAAGAAAATTTCGGAGGGATATAGGATTTCCAAATGAAACTCATTGGAGTCCTAAGGGTCCCTTTAACTCTAAGGAGTTCGTAGACTTTGCCCGATATTAACTTCCCATCAATGCTCCTAGCATTAAGTCCCATTAATGTTTCGTTTAGGTTATTAAAACATCCACGAATTTTGTCTCGAATTTGGCCTAACCTTTTCATGAGTTGCGAGTCTCGGCCGTGTGGGATGAATTCCCACACATTCTTACCTTGAAGATAAATGCCATTGACCCAACGGACCCACAAAGTATCCTTCTTTTTGTGCACGTCCCATAGCGTGCGTGAGAGGAGGCTATCATTCCAGGCCCTAGCATTGTGTATGCCGAGGCCCCCCTCCTCTTTTGGGAGACATATGTCGTCCCAAGCAACCTTCGCAAACTTGCCCCCCCACAAGAAAATTCTACATATGGAGACTATCCTATCCAAAATGGTTTGGGGAACCGGAAAGATTTGGAGCCAAAATGATTGGACCCCTTGGATCACCGATCGTATTAGCTCGATTTTCCCGGCATAGGAAAGTGTTTTCGTATTCCATGCTTTCAAAAAATCATTGACCACATCAAGTAAAGGCGCATATTGCGCGACCGAGATCCTAAGAGGGGCAAGCGGTATTCCAAGGTACCTTACCGGGAATGTCCCTTGCCCATAGTCAACTAAATCCAATATGTTTTGTAGGTCAAATTCCCTTACCCCCCCAACGAAAATCTTAGATTTTTCGTGGTTCACCCTAAGGCCTGATGCGTCCCCAAACTCTTCAAGAGAATTAACCAATATTTGAATAGAATTTTTATCACCTCTCGAGAAGAGCATAAGGTCATCCGCATAGGCCAAATGAGTGATACCTAATGAAGAGCATTGCGGGTGGAAATTAAAATTATTCCCTTTGGCCCTCAAAGTGAGTAATCGGGAAAAATATTCGAGGCATAAGACGAAAAGCAAAGGGGACATTGGATCCCCTTGTCGTATGCCTCTTTTGCCTTTAAAAAATCCATACAATGAGCCATTCAAGGAAACTGAGAAGGAGGCTGTTGACACACATTCCATAATCCAAGCAATAAACCGAGAAGGGACCCAAACCCTCAAGGACTTTTTTGAGAAAGTCCCAAGAAATCGTGTCATAGGCCTTTCGCAAATCCACCATAATCATGCATCTTGGTGAGATTCGCTTCCTATTGTATCCTCTAACAAGTTCCTGGGCAAGGAAAATATTATCAAACATTAGGCGGCCATCCACAAACGCTCCTTGGGCTTTATTAACCAACCCCGAGAGACATGGGGTTAATCTAGCTGCAATAATCTTGGTAATGATTTTGTATAAAACATTCGTGCAAGATATGGGTCTATAGTCCGAAACTCTGGGGGAGTGATTAGTCTTGGGAATAAGTGCAATAACAGTATGATTGATCTGTTTGAGTAACTTACCCGACTGAAAAAACTCCATCGTAGCTTGGACTATGTCATCCCCAACAACATTCCAGTTTGCCTTAAAGAAGGCCGAGGTAAACCCGTCCGGCCCCGGTGCCTTGTCATTTCCAATATCAAATAAGGCATCTTTAATTTCCTTACGTGTTATTGGAGCAAGTAGGCTATCATTAACGCTTGGTTCAATCAAGGGGCCGGTGCCTAGGACCAACGGGTCCTATTTCAAAACCCTTACGTAATGTAGGCTATCAAGAGCCCCTTGAATATAACCTTACACGATTAAGTTTGGATTTTCTTACTCCTTCTTGCTCGGAATTCAACCTGATTTCATTCCTATTGATTGGATTTGAAAAAAAACCTTGATTTTCGTAGCAAAAAAGACTGATTTTTGAACTGAGGGATCGTAGATACACTGTTCACCGCAGATTTTGATTTTGGACCTTGATCTGTATAATGGAAATCTTAGGAAAGAGTGAGCCCTTTCAGCTTTTTGTGCCATCTTAATTAATTATGTTGTACATCTTTCGCAAGGGAAAAGCCAAAAAAATTTGTAAGCAATATAATATATAGAAATTGCCCTAAATAGGAGCAAAAACGTTTTGAAATTCCAAAATAAGAGTATCATGTTTTTTATTCCCTAAATAGGAGTAATCTGCCAAGTTTGGAAGAAAATGCCATGTTTTAAAGTCTAATATTTCCAACTTGGCAGAAATTTACTCCTATTTAGGGAATAAAAACATGATACTCCTATTTTGGAATTTTGAAACCTATTTACTCCTATTTAGGGAATTGTCTCATATATATACGTAGGATATATAGCATGCATGTCCTTTTCTTTAAGGGTTTAAGGGATAAATTTGGTTAATGTTTTAAGATATACGATATTAGTAAAGGAATACAACAAGGAAAAATTTAAAAGCTTAACAAGCTAGGGAAAAAAGTAAAGATTTAAAATTTATTTAAAGAACGCGGATATTGAGTAAAACCCATTTTTATAGACCCCTTTTAGCTCAAGACAAGAGGTTAAAACCCATTATCATAAATATTCTTTTAATGCACCGATTAATATTATGAATGACATAAGATAAAATATTTCAACATTTTAGACAAAACCGAGAGTTTAATTTGTTGACATGGAAAGTACAGTTTGAAAATGTTCACTTTCGAATAGATCAAATATATTTTGGGGTTACATACTTTAAAAAAAAACATATTATTCCTATTTTAGATCATGCCTAAGAAAATTATTACAGTCAATTATATCTCTACAATCTTATAAAGGGGAATTTTGTCAGGGGTTTAACGGGCATAAGAAAAATGTTGGTTGTTCTGTGTGCATGATCTGCCTGTACTCTATATTTATTTTGTTGTACGTTGTAACCTAACGGATGGACGGAAGGGCTTAACGCCTTTATCCCCGTAGGTATAAGTGGATTCGGTCTATTTTTCCCTGCGGAAAAGCCTCGATCTTGCTTTTATTCCCTACACCGATGAAAACAATGAAACCCCTCAGTTCCTCTCTTCCGTTTCAGAAGCTCAGCGTTCTACCCTCCATAATAATGGCTTCTACCCTCCATAACAAGGGTCAGCCGTTTGCCTGCAATATCCGATTTCATGGCATTTTCTTGTATTTAGGTGGCTTCTCACAGAAGTCGGGAAGAAGATAGTTGTAGCTTTCCAAGCCTCTGCCCCACAACGTTCATTGCTTGGTACCGGGTGATGGTGAGAAGTCTAAAGTTTATTATGTATCAATACATTTATGCCAGACAGATTGACTCAGAGTGTTTTGCTACTACAGCATGAACAGAATGTTGTGGCACTAAATAGATTGGTGGGTTGGTGTTTTTTAATTACCAGAGCATTAAATATACTTATTGTTCTTTTTATAAGTGATATTGAAGTTGAATCTTATGTATTTAGGTAAAGGAAGTTTGTCAGCTGGAAAAATCCAAAGCAGGTGACAATACGGAAGATGTGGAACACCTACTGAACTGGCTGCTGCAATCTGTTAATATTGTGGTGTTGTTAGTTAGCATGTGATGTAAAACTCATGATAAGGTACTATCCTTCTATCCATTCCTATGTGTTTACGTGAAATCATGCATAACATGACTTAGGCGGATTAATAATTGCGGAACAGGTTGGTGTTCATGCAACGGCTGTCAAGTTCAGCGGGAAGTTTTTTGATTCCTTCCTTAAAGGTATAGCTTATGAAGTTAGATGTCTTTAACTAAGACCACGTAACTAAAATTGATCCCCCCTTTCCCAGTTTTTGGTTTTTTACAGGCTCAATTTCAGTTGCATGGTGAACGAATAATCCAACTGGTGAGGTTCATTATTATTTTATTAAAAGGAAGTATTTACTCTATAAGATAAAATTGATTTGCTTCTTATAAAAAATTTCATAGGTTAAAGAACTTCAGAAGGCAACAAGAACCATACAAACACTATGCTCTGAAGCAAAGGT